TGGTACCGAGGGCTGACCCCGCCATGCCCCCCCCCCCCGCCTCGACCCCCCCCGGGCCACCTTTGCTGCGCTCCAAGGGCCAAGGCACAGCAAAGCTGCATTGAATTGGTGTGGACAAACACAAGGTGCTAAAAGGAAAAAAAAAAAAAGAGAAAAAAAAAAAAAAGAGAAAGAAAAGATAAATCTGTAACTAGCTTTTTATTATTGTATGGAATTTATTACCATAAAAGCTGTGCGAGTCACACAGTCTATTTCTTACAGTCTACTGTATTTTGTGTAATTAATGCAATTCCAAGCCTGTGGTTTTTGTCAGTTGTGTCCTATAAATCATTTTCTAAAGGCACTGAATAAAAAGACATTACGCTCTTGTAGCCTGGTTCTGCACAATGATGGGGAGGTGGTGGCCAGGAGACCACCCGGCCTCCATCCCTACCCCCGCCTGGTACCCGCCGGTGGCAGCCACGGGCACCCTGCCCCTGTGCTGGTTGTGTTTGTGGCCGGGGGCCGAGGCCACAGCCCCTGCCCCCCTGGAGCAGAAAATGGGTCCCAAGGGGCACGTCCTCAACAGGCTGGCGCCAAGGACCACCAGCAGGACAGGAGAAAAAGCACTCGGTGCAAGCGATGCCCAAGACCTGGCCAGGGTGGTGATGGTGCTCAAGCTCGTACGGCACCTGCCTCCAGGTTCTTCTCCTGCACTGGCACCTCCTCGGGCAGCTGGCACGGCTCCTTGGCAAGGGCCAGCTCTGCTGGCTGCTTTCGGCGACTGTGCTGGACGCCCACCCAGATGGCCGCCAGCAGGTAGACCACTGCCAGCAGTGTGAAGTAGCCAAAATACACGTAAAACTGCAAGAGAGGTGGGGAGAGAGCAATGCTCACGGTCCCCTCCCACCCCCCCGCCCAACTTCATCCCACACCAGTAGGGGAGACCTCTGTCCTAGGTGCCCCTCAGCCCTACCTGAGGATGCACAGACAAGCCCAAGGCCCTCTTGTCGACCACGATGATCGTGATGATGGTCTTCAGCACAGTGGCAAAGAAGGTGTTGACCCCGAAGACCAGCGCGCAGAGCTCTTTGGAGAGGGAGGTAGCAATCTGGAAACTGGGAAAAACGGGGGGACCAGTGAACCCCTGGTGCCAGCCCAGCTGCCGGGGTGGGAGCAGGTCCCCAGGGGTACCACGCACATGGCGATGGGCACCAGGAACTGGTAGGAGCCACGGAAGAGGACATAGGCGACGTAGCACAGCCAGATGTTGCTGGTGGTGTTCATGAGCAGAAGCAGCCCTGCCTGGAAAGCTGTCACCACCCCGATCACCAGCTCCGACCACAGCGTCCACCGGATCTTCACGTAGCCAGCGGCGAAAGAGGCCACGGCCCCTGGGGAGGGGATGAAGGATGCTGTGAACACCTCACGAGCACGGGACCACCTTGCATCCCCCAGCTGAGTCACACAGGTCCAGAGAGGTGATTCTGCCACTTTGCTCTGCTCTGGTGAGACCTCACCTGGAGTATTGTGTGCAGGTCTGGAGCCCTCAATATAAGAAGGACACGGACCTGATGGAGAGGGTCCAGAGGAGGGCCACAAGGATGATCAGGGGGATGGAGCACCTCTGCTACGAGGACAGGCTGAGGGAGCTGGGGTTGTTCAGCCTGGAGAAGAGGAGGCTCCGGGGAGACCTAATAGCGGCCTTCCAGTACCTGAAGGGAACCTACAGGAAGGCTGGGGAGAGCCTGTTTAGAAAGGGCTGCAGTGACAGGACGAGGGGCAATGGCTTTAAGCTGGAGGGGAACAGATTTAGATTGGAGATAGGAGGGGGTTCTTCACTGTGAGGGTGGTGGAGCACTGGGACAGGTTGCCCAGGGAGGTGGTTGAGGCCCCTTCCCTGGAGATATTCAAGGAGAGGCTCAACGAGGCCCTGGGCAACCTGGTCTAGTTGGGGGTGTCCCTGCTGACTGCGGGGAGGTGGGACTAGATGGCCTTTGGAGGTCCCTTCCGGCCTGGGCGATTCTATGATTCATCTCATCACCACTGCCGTAACACCCAAATGGCCCCAAAAACGCTACAGGGAGCACCAGTCCCAGGGATGCAGTGGAACAGGGCTGCTTCCCTGCCTCCCCAGTGTCCCCCAGCCCAGGGCAACATACCCAGCAGCGTGGAAGCGGCGTCCACTCCTCCGTTGTACACCCGGCTGTTGTCCGTGGCGGGGTAGATCTCATTCCAGAGGATGTGCACGTAGTACAGCATCAGGTAGTAACCAGCTGAGTTGAAGACCCACCACAAGGACCAGAGCCGGAGCTGGGGTTGCCCGGCCAAGGCCACCAGCTCCCTCAGCATACGGCACAGCACTGCCTCCCGCCAGCCCCCTGTCCCCCCGCTCCCCTCTCCCCCTGCCATCTTGTCCAGCTCAGCGGCCGTGGCCTCCTCGCCGGCCGCCTCGGGACGGTTGAAGAAGAGGCTGCGCCGGGGCCGCTCGAGGAAGAGGGTGAGGACCAGGCCGAAGCTGACGAAGCCCAAGGAGATGTAGTTGAGGGTGAGGAAGGGGACGCCACCCACGGTGACGCAGAGCTGGCCCAGCACCGAGCTGGTGAAGACTCCCAGGAGGACGGCGGAGCGGGAGTAGCTGGCCACACGCTGGTAGCGGGACGGGGTGACGAGGGAGAAGATGTAGGAGGAGTAGGCAATGCGGGCGGCCATGGTGATGCTGTAGAAGAACTCCATCAGCTGCATGGCCAGGACAGAGGTGCCCAACACCAGCAGCAGCCAGATGGAGATGTGGCTGAGGCTCTGCAGCACTAGCACCGGCTTGTAGCGCAGGTAGTCCGTCAGCAGGAAGATGGGCACCAGCACGGCCATGTAGGAGTACGTCAGCACCGGCATGATCTCGTTGGTCACCTGCCGTGCGTGCAAGGGCTGAGCGCTGGACACGGCCCTGGGAGATGCCCCCAGCCCCACGGAGTGCAGCTGACTACCGACCAGCTGCTGACCCCCACGTCCCTGGGAGATGCCACCAGCCCCATGGAGGGTAGCTGACTACCAACCAGCTGCTGACCCCCACATCCCTGGGAGATGCCACCAGCCCCATGGAGCGTAGCTGACTACCAACCAGCTGCTGACCCCCACGTCCCTAGGAGATGCCCCCAGCCCCACGGAGCGGACCGCTGTTGACCCCCACATCCCTGGGAGATGCCCCCAGCCCCACGGAGCGGACCAGCTGCTGACCCCCACATCCCTGGGAGATGCCACCAGCCCCATGGAGCGTAGCTGACTACCGACCAGCTGCTGACCCCCACGTCCCTAGGAGATGCCCCCAGCCCCACAGAGCGGACCAGCTGCTGACCCCCATGGTGGCACCTCCTGGGGAAGGAATGTGGCCTGCAGCGTGCTCCGCCGGGGGCCTGGCTGAGCCCTGGCTCCCTCCCGTGCTGGGAACGCAGCGTTCCCACGAACGCAGCAGCCTGCTAGGACTGGAGCCAGTGTCCCTTGGGGGGGGACAACAACGTCTAACCCCATCCTTGCCGGCAGTCACCAGCCCCGCTCCCTGCACCGAGCACGGGGCCAGCACGGGAGGCTCTCCCTAGCAAAATGGGACGGGGCTTCTCCCAGCTCAGCACCCCCCCGCCATCCCACCGCCAGCCCAGGGTCAGACATCACCCCTCAAAAGTGGTTTCCAGCCTCAGCACAAGGAGCCTGGGACTGGGGGGACACAGGGTGACCTCGCAGCCCAGTGGGACAGGGACGTGCTGCCGGATGGACACACGCCACCTTCTACCCCCACCCAAAAAGCACCACCACGTATCACCATGCACTTCCATACCCCAGGGCAGCCAGACGATGCCCCGGCCAGCCCCAGCGGGGTGATGGTGGCTGGATGGGGGGACACCAGGGGAGGACAGGCTCCCCGTAGCTCACCTCTGTCTGCGTGAAGTTAGCCCCCAGGAGATAGGGGGTGATGAAGCTCTCCCCGGGCCGGATCTGCGTCATGAAGCCATAGAAGCAGAGGTAGAAGACCTGTAGTTTCCAGCGCTGGTCCAGTGCCGTCTCCGACACTGGCTTTTTGGTGTCATCATCTTTCTTGGACATGGCTCCACCGGCTCTGCCGTAGGACGGCGGTGGTGTCCCAGGGACCGTCAGCTAGACAGGCGTTGCTGGGCCAGGCAGCCCCTCTCTGGCCGCAGGCTTTCTCCAGCACATCGAAAGCCACGTCGCTGCAGTTTCTGGAGAGAAAGCAACATTTGGCACGGGCTCAAATTCCTCCATAATCGCAAGGCAAATAAATACCACTACCTGCTCCCCAGGAGATGTTCTGGCCAGAAGAAAAGCAGCCGCACGTCTCACTGTGCAAAACACGGGGGGGGGGGCATTTCAGATGGAATTTGTAAATCTCATACAAAAAAAAGCATGGATGCACGAAGTGCCTGGCTCTGCACTGGGGCATCCTCGGCTCCCATCTACTTGTTTTTCTCCCTGTTAAGAGCCAGTGGGGTTTTGCTCCCTCCCCAGAAGAAAGCTCTTCTCCGAGCCAGGTTGCTCCGCCACAGACCTGGAGGCAGAGAGATCACAGAATCACAGAATCTTCTAGGTTGGAAGGGACCTTAAAGATCATCTTGTCCAACCGTCAACCTAACTGACAAAAATAGACACCCACACAACAAACAAGGAGCATCATCACTAAACCAGGCCTCCCAGCACTACATCAACCCGGCTTTTGAACACCTCCAGGGATGGGGCCTCAACCCCCTCCCTGGGCAGCCCATTCCAATGGCTGAGAACCCTTTCAGGGAAAAAATTTTTCCTAATATCCAGCCTGAACCTCCCCTGGCGCAACCTGAGGCCATTTCCTCTCGTCCTGTCGCCTGTGACTTGAGAGAAGAGACCGACCCCCACCTCTCTACACCCTCCTTTCAGGGAGTTGTATGATGCAGACACCCTGCGCTGTGACTTGAGAGAAGAGACCGACCCCCACCTCTCTACACCCTCCTTTCAGACACCCTGCACCGTGGATGCTCTGGAGAGAGGTGGCAGCGGCCGTGGGGGACTTGCAGCAGTTGTGAAAGGGAGTTAATGTGCACACCCACCCTGCACCGTGGATGCTCTGGAGAGAGGTGGCAGCGGCCGTGGGGGACTGCAGCGGTTGTGAAAGGGAGTTAATGTGCACGCTGGGCACGGGGCTGCCCGTGTTACACATTAACTGGGCAGTCAGCGGGACTTCAGCTGATCTGCAGGCCAGGGACTGCCCCTCAGCCCTCCTCTGCCCCGGTGGGACACACGCTGGGGCAGCATCACCCTGCCTGGGGAGAACGCAATAATGCCACAAGGTCCACAGTCCAGAGGGGGGGGGATTAAATGCTCAGATCCTGAGGTTTGGCCTCGGGAAAGCTGGCAGAGCTGGGGAAGCCTGATCAGCAGTCACGGGATGAAGGTAGGGAAGGGACAAGGCACGGCCTGGGCGTCCTCCCAGTGCTCCCCACTCCCACGACGAGTCACCGACAGCACTTTCCGAGCCATAAAAATCCACATGTGCCAGTCCACGCCACAGGAGCAAGGTCTAGAAACACCACTACCCTGCTAATTGCAGAACAACTCATCACGGTCATTAAAAACTAAGTCCATGGTCCAGTCCGTGCCTTCCACTGCCATCCTGCATGGCCAGACTTGCAAGACCCCCCCCTAGATAACCCACATGACTAACAGGGAGATGCGTTGGTGCTTGCACGGGGAGGCCAGTGGTGATCAAAGCCAGAAGCTGCAGCAACAAGCAGGGTGCCCGTTTGCCCCAGTGAGGACTCACCAGCATTCCCATGGGATTTCAGCACCCGTGCTTGAGCAACACCAAAATATGCACGTCCCGGAGCTCTGTCTCACACCTGGGCAAACAGCCCCGACCGCTCAAAGAGGTCCCCAGGGAGCAGGGCAGGGATTTGGGTGCTGCTGCCCAGTTTGGGCACGGGATGGAGCGCCGCGGTCCCCCTGCTGTGCCAGGGAGGGCAAGTAGGAAGGAGCAGGGGCTAAACCCCTAAACCCCTGCCAAACACACCCCCAGCATCACGCTGTGCCGTGCCCACCCAGAGCCCCCACCAGATGTGACTGCCAGGCCTGTGCCCCATCACCTGCTCGTCCCCGAGCCGGGCATCGCCTCCAGCAGCCACTCCCTGTGGGGCAGCCCCCCGTCACAGGCTTCGAGACCCCAAAGGGCTGCTTTCCAAACCTGTTTCAGAAGCAGATGCGCCCCCGTTTCCCTTCCTGTGCATCCAGGATGGATACGTGTGCTCATCCCCAGCCAAAAGGAAGCCACCTGCATTAAATCCAGGACGCAGCTCCACGCCACCCCCTCGATGCCACCTTCCCTAGGAGCAGCAGCTCCTGACTCCTGGAATATGCGTCCCCACATATTCAGGGGACCCCAACCCTGAACCCAGCCGGCCAGACCCAGCTCCACCTCTCCAGACCATCTACTGCCACTCGAGGCGAGTGGGCATCAGTCCCGAGGGATGCTCCCAGCTCGGTGTCCTCCTCCCTCTGTCCCTGATGCGAGCCAAGCCGAGGAGAGGGAGCAAAGCCCGGGTGGTTATCACAGAATCACAGAATCTTCTAGGTTGGAAGGGACCTTAAAGATCATCTTGTCCAACCATCAACCTCACTGACAAAAATAGACACCCACACAACAAACAAGGAGCATCATCACTAAACCAGACCTCCCAGCACTACATCAACCCGTCTTTTGAACACCTCCAGGGATGGGGCCTCAACCACCTCCCTGGGCAGCCCATTCCAATGCCTGAGAACCCTTTCAGGGAAAAAATTTTTCCTAATATCCAGCCTGAACCTCCCCTGGCGCAACTTGAGGCCATTTCCTCTTGTCCTGTTGCCTGTGACTTGAGAGAAGAGACCGACCCCCCCCTCTCTACCCCCTCCTTTCAGGGAGTTGGAGAGAGCAATAAGGTCTCCCCTCAGCCTCCTCTTCTCCAGGCTGAACACCCCCAGCTCCCTCAGCCTCTCCTCATAAGACTTGTGCTCCAGACCCCTCACCAGCTTTGTCGCCCTTCTCTGGACCCGCTCCAGCCCCTCAATGTCTTTTTTATGGTAGGGGGCCCAAAACTGGACACAGTACTCAAGGTGAGGCCTCACCAGTGCCGAGTACAGGGGGACAATCCCCGTGTGAACCTCTTTATCCCCGGGTTAACCTGTTTATCCCCGGGTTAACCTGTTTATCACCGGGTTATCGCCGCACGACGTTGACAAGGGAGGGCTGTCCTGCTGCCTGGTGCTCAGCCCAGGGCCCTGGTTGATGCAGGTGGCCAAGCTCAGGAGTAGCTCCCAGCAG